AAATATCTTCCTATGTCTGACAGCCACTTCTACTTTTCCAAAATCAATTTATTTCACATCCGTTCAAATTTCATTACTACGGACCAGGAAATATCCATACTAAAAACGCCCTACTTCTTCTATTCTTAATAACTTATAAGTTTATACATTTACTCTTTCAAAGAACACTTCCGATTCACATTCCTATTGAGAGTACCCTTCACCTATATCTATACATATAATATTATTCAAAATAATTATTTAAGTCATAATCCTACTCAATGGATTAAGTATATACAGAGTGTCAATTTGAAAACTTCCCACCCCTATTATCTCGGAGTAGAAAAATTTTCAAAAAAATCCCTGAAACACGTCAAGTATAATTTGAAGGGGGATGAATTTTTATGCAAAATTCACCTCCGCTCTTTCAACCCCCCAACCCCCAGAGCCATCCCCTAGAAAATCTTAAATGGGAAGAGGGGTCAAGTGATACATCATTTTGCAGGGTTTTTAATTCCATACATTTTGGTACCAAATTTCAATACCTGAGTTCAACTGTTTTGGAAATATTGACAGTTGAAAATTGACTTTTTTTCAAATTTGACAGGCTGTAAAACCTAAACGGTTAATTTTAGAGGAAAACCGTTCTTACATTTTTATCTTAGATTTTTATAAACTATCATCTGACAGCAACTTTGAATTTAATCCATGATCAAAAATTTAGGTTTTACAGCCTGTCAAAGTTGCAAAAATGTCTATTTCCAACTGTCAATATTTCCAAAACCGTTGAACTTAGGTATTGAAATTTGGTACCAGAATGTATGGAATTAAAAACCCTGCAAAATGATGTATCACTTGACCCCTCTTCCCATTTAAGATTTTCTAGGGGGTGGCTCTGAGGGTTGGGGGGTTGAAAGAGGGGAGGTAAATTTTGCATAAAAACTTATCCCTTTTCAAATTATAGTTGACGTGTTTCAGGGATTTTTTCGGAAATTTTTCAACTCCGAGATAATAGGGGTGGGAAGTTTTCAAATTGACACCCTGTATGTATTATCAACTATATTTTTATGAAAACCTTACAATAATTTCTAAATGAAGAAAAACACATAAGGTCAACACCTTCATGAACAACAAGTTTCTTTTCAAAACTTCCCATTACATTGTATGGTTCCTTCTTTTACTAAGGATCAATTTAAACAGAACAATTACCTACTATTTTCGAATTCTTAGCCAACATACACAATAGGCTCCTTGCATCAAATTTTTTTATTGCTGATTTCGATAGTCCATGAAAAATAAGTCAACACGTGTTTTTTCTTTTTCTTCTTAGTCAAAAATTGACGGAGATACAACACTATGAAATCTGCCTATGACGTCACTTATCATATAAATTAGTGACGTTGCACGTGCTCAGTATATCTATATATACAAAACTTAATATTTGAATAACTTCCGGAATAATCATATTTGGGCGAAATAAAAAAAAAGTAACGATTTTTTTTGATTTCTTACATTTTGCAATAAACAATAATCAATTTAATTTTCCATGCAAGTACCCTATTATTTAAATTCTTATTAGTTTGTTACTATAGCCCTTAAACTTCAATTGGACAATCCAATTCAACATTCCTTAATAATTCCTACTCGAAATTGAATATTGTTAAGAGCATTATAATTTTCCTTTGTGAATTTGCAAAATTAATTAAAATGTCATTATACTCGAAGGTTATGCAATAAAGTTTTTACAGTCAAATCGCTCAAGTTTTTATTTATGCAATAAACTTCCAAAGTTAATTCACTTCATAGTCAATCATCATTTATAAAGTCAAAAAGTTCATCTAGTCACTAGAGTACTTACATTTAACTTTTCACTCGTAAAATTACTTAATTAATTTACTTCAAAAATCTTTAGAGCTCGCACATAACGTTGAACGCATTTAAATGGTCTTTCTTTCATAAATTTTAGTTACTTTTCAAAGATTTAACGAGTTTTGCCGAGGCAACAAAAAAAAAATAAACTCTTCGCGAATTTTAACCGGACTGACTCATTAGTTACTGTAGATTTAACTCAAAACTGGACTGAACTTACACTCAACTGATTTTCCACTTCGAAAAACCGCCTGTTTTTATATTTTTCGATTCCCCCAAAAATATTATTAATTGACCACCAAAATCGACAATGGGCGGTCGTTTGACCATCTATAATTCAATCCTATTGGTCGACCTAGATATTATTCCAAAAAGTAATTTCATCATTTAAAAAGATTATGCAATCTGTTCAAAATTTTTGTCATTTTGGGTCCAATTTAATTAGGTGCTTAACCTTGTATTTTATCTTTTCCGGGATTTTATTTACGAATTCAAATGATGACACGTGCTTGGTCACTGATGGCTTGTTTAAAATTTGAACGTACCTATATAAATATTTTAATTAATTTGGGTCAATTTTTATTGGTTTCATTTTCAATTTATTGATACTGATGTTAATTATTAGAAATTCAGTTTCTGAATATTTGATTACAATTTAATTTTTACAGTAAAGACATTGTAAATTACGGGTCTATTTTCCCGGGTCATCACAACTCTATGTCTATGGGATTTAGCCGTTTTTTAGGATGTTATCCATGGTCTTGAGAAGGATTTCCTGATTTTTCCTGGCTATTAGTTTCAGTATATCGGGGGAATGTTATCTATACCTGGGGCCTTGTTTGGCTTAAGCTTGGTGCTTGCTTCTAGGATCTCTTGTTTTGTTATGTTTGGGATTTCAGCCGATTTAACCTCTATTTTTCTCCAGATATAGTGGGGTCTAGTTGGAAATAGACCTTTTACCACTTCTATAGTCCTTTCCATTGTCAGAGCAGATCTTCCGGGTCGGGCTTTTAGTCTTTTTGTAGTGATCCTATATCCATCCCCCCAGCAGCTTTCATTAATATCGTCCTATAGTCTCTGCCAGCAGTTGCGTTTGGCGGTGCTAATGGTAATTTTCAATTCCTTCCTGTGTTTTTTGTATTTTTCTTTTCTGTCGATGGTTCAGTAGGTACTTTGTTTGCGGTTTTTTCTTATGATTATTCCTTTCAACTTTAGACATGTTTTCCTCAAATAAGCGATATCTTCGTTCCACCAGCAGGCAGGTTTTTTGTTATTATGGTAAGGCTTTATGTGGCATGGATGTGTATATCTGTTATGGACTGGTCGAATTCGAATTGTTTCGGGGAGATAGGTATCCCTTTCTGTGCTACATTAGTATAGCTTTTTCAAACTTCTTGGGGTGAATTTTTTTGAAGTTCCAGTACTTTATGCCTTCGGTGATTGTCTGAATTTTTGAGTGGGTTTCAACTTCAAAGTAGATGTAATTATAATCACTAGCTGATTCCTGATCAAATACCGTCCAGTTTTTTATTCTAGCCTTTATTCTTCCCGTTGTCATTGTTAGATCTACTATTGAGGCGGCTCATTCTCTCGAGAGAGTTGGTTCGGTTCCTTCATTTTGTAGGATGATATTCTTTGTTGCCCTCCATTCTAAGTTATGGTGCCCTCTTTGGTTTGCAGTATGTGATCCCCATTCTATACCCCACGCGTTAAAATCTCCAGCGATTATGATGTCTTTTGTTAAGCTGTGTAACACTTCATCCATGTTATCCACTGCGGCCTTGTAGTCTACTAATCTCAAACTAGGTGGAAAAGCTAACGAGGATGAATTTTCTGAATTCAAACCAGGTAAACCCTTCTCTCGCTCCCGTAATGAGAAATGGAGTATTTTGATTTTTTAACCTGAGGACTATGTCGCTTTTGGTAGGTATCTGTAACCCAGGGTAGATGTAAGACTAGTCTTTGGTTGGGTTCTGATATTATTAGTACGTCTATATTCATTTGGATGGCTGTAGCTTCCAGAAGGTTATGTGCTTCATAGCATCGGTTAACATTGATCTGCAGGAATCTCGTCGTTGTATCGTTTCTGTTGGCGCACCTATCAGCATTTATTTGTAAACCACTTATTACGGTAGGGATTCAATATTGAGGCCTCCGTCTTCCTGTACTTGATGCATTATTAGATTTCGTGATGTTTGCTGTTTAATCCCCTTTCTCTTCGTGTAATCGCCCGATGGAGAAATCTGCCCGCCTCGTGTCCTACTTGTTTGCACAGTAGCTTTCTTCCTATCTCTGGCACTCTTTTTTGGTATGTCCCTGCTTCCCACATTTAAAGCCGAGATCCCTCTCATCCGGTCCGTTGCAGTTGATGGTTACATGGTCAAAAGCCAGGCACTTATAGCACCCTTCCATCCTTATCCTTCTTTCACGCCTACAACTTATGAACCCTATGCGGATTTCCTTGTGTTTTGTTAGAAGTTTATCAGCGGATTCCCTTGGTAGTGACATCGTGATCGTTTGGGTAGAGTTGCCATTTGGTCTCAGTTCACTCAGTCAGTACCCTCTATCATCCAGCTTGCCGATCTTGTCCTCTATTGCTTCCACTATTTCCTCCTTCGTGTTTAGAGCGTCCATACCCTTTATGTGTATCGACTCCATGTATACATTTACAGTCCCCTTTATTCTTGTTTTCATATCCGCAATGGTGTCAATTTGGCCTCGAAGCTCTTCTATGGCTTCGTCATCCTTCGCCGTCGTAATGATTAGTTTCCTATCTCTTGTTTGTCTTATCTCCTTGATAATATCCCTGGTCCTTGCGTTCCTTATCTTTGCTCTTATATCGCTAAGTACTTCTATTGTTTAGTTCCACCAGTATATCATATGTGTCTTTTTCCTTTTTGCTATATATCCCCGTATCTCTGGTCCTTATGCTCTCCTTGCTTCTTGTTTTGGTACGCTTGGGTCGTATACAAGGTGTCATTTTAAAACTTACCACCCCTATTATCTCAGAGGAGACAAATTTTCGAAAAAATTCCTGAAACACGTCAACTATAATTATAGAGGGGATAAGTTTTAAAACAGCAAGCAAGCATGCTTATATTAATTTCTACATCTTTTATCAAATTAACCAATTTGATTCTTTTAAACTTCAGCTGGACCTAGACCAGAAGATCCTCATGCAAAGATCCAAGTCAACGTGACATACGGAGGTACTCCTCAGGATCCATCACAACCTACTACACCTAGAGATCCACCTCCTAGAGATTATCGCGAATATTCAGAAAGGCGCGATTATCCAGATAGGCGTGATTATCCAGAAAGGCGCGATTATCCTCAATATGACGATCGCCGGGATTATCCAAGAGACTATCCTCCATACCACGAACGTCGCGAATATCCTCCACATCCAAGGGATCATCCTTCATATCAAGATCCTCGGGATTATCCTCCGCATCGAAGGGAATATCCCGATCCTGCATATCCAGATCATCGCGATTATGCAAGAGAACCTGTGCGGTAAGTTGAAAAATCGTTGAGATTGCAGAGTTTTTTATAAAACTATTTTTAGTGATCCTTATTATCCACCACCACCACCAGCACCTGCCGCAGCCGATCCCTATTATCGTCATGATGCAAGGTAAGATACTTTGAGTTGAAAACGAACAAATTTGCAATATTTCTCATTATTTTTGGTAATAATGGTGACAAAATATATATCATATTATTCAGATATCCCGACCAGAGACCTTATACCAATGATCAGCAAAGGAATAGACCGTACTATAACAATCAGAGATCATCTGGAGACGAATCCCAAACCTCCAATAGGGGCCGACAATTCAGTCGGGGAGGACCCAACAATAATTATAATAATAATTATAGAGGTAGACATTAAATTTATGGTAATGTTTGTTTATACAGTAGTGTAAAAGAGTTGCTTTTTACTCATATTTTTATTTAGTTGCGGGTGATTATTCTAGGAATCTAATTCATATTCCTCAAGCTACTACTATTGATGCCTTTTTAGAGAAATCTTGTCTCTATTGGAATTCAGAATTTATATTTAGGATTTGTTGTTTGGAAATGAATTTTTGAATCTTTTCTCAACAAACTAATAATTTCAGTTCATTGGAAAATACTTTAATAATTTTTCCAGGCAACAATAGAGGGAGTAGAGGCGGCATTCATCGTCGAAATAGACGTAGAAATGACAACAATGCCAATTCGAACAGTGGAGATGAGTCTGACACATCTGTCCCTAGCCTCTGCAATCAGAAAATTACAAGACCATTTTAAAAGGATATGGTCAGAGGAGAAGGAAAATCATTATCTTTTTCCTAAATTATGTATAAGAAACTTTTTTACTTTCAATATTACACGGTTATTTGATTAAAAATATAAATACACACTAATGGTTGGTGTGTTTTATCTACTGAGGGTGCTTCAACATCAATCGTCCCTTAGTTTGTTTCAAACTTGATTTCTGGGACAATTTTTGTTAAAAGAACCTTCTTAAAATTACTATGTATTATTAGTTAAGGATTAAGGCTTGCTTGGATTCTGGGATTTTCCAGATCAAAGGAACAATAATCCCGGGATTTAATTGCAAAAATATATCAGGATCACCCCCTAAGCTGTTTACAGTCTATATCTATGAGGATGTTTCAATTTAAATTTTTCATCCCAAGATTTTTCTGGACAAGTTTTTTGGCGGGGGTTCACGGATTTTATTTTGGAATCCATGATATACTGCAAACAATAGCATTTAATTTTAATAATAAATCAGCCACAATTATTTTGAGGTTGAAAAGCAGATTCTATAATGCAAATAGAGCAAAAGCTTTATGTAAGGCTTGATACAGGCGTGGACCTAAAACTAAGTGCCTATATAATTAAATGAGTATTTAATTATATACCTACATTTGAAAAGTTTCATGTAGTCAATTTAAAAGGTTAATAATTAAATAATGAGTTTGTTGCAAAAACACTTAATTTTTTTAATTTGTGCCCCTTTTTTTTGAAGAAAACTTGGTCCACAATCACAATTGACATAAATGTCTTAATGCCAATTTTGAATCTTACTGAAAAGCGAATCATTATTAATAGGTAATAATACCATTAAAATTGTGCCAAGCTAAATAAGGTGTGTCGCAATTTTGTAATGGAACATATTTGAATATTCTATAGAATTTAAGTTATAGTTTTAGGAGTTTGAGTTACCCATTTTTTTCAACAAATGTGTATTTTTCAGTGGTTTTTGAATTAATCGTTATGCTTTATGTGTTATTTACTACTGGCCTATTATATACCTACCACCTATTTATAGTTTTAAGAGTTTGAGTTACCCATTTTTTCGGCAACAAATTAATATGTTATTGAAAAAAATATTGGTGTTTGAAATAATTATGCTTTATTTACTGGCATATTATGTACCACCTAGTTAGTTTCGTTTTGTGTTTCAATATGTATTTTAAGTTGTCTTTCTTTATTTTTTTTTCATATATTATTATGTTCTTATATAAATTGTTTTATTTGATTTTATTAATCTTTGCATTTTTTTCAGAAATTTAATCCCATGATTAAAACCAAAATTGAAATTTTTATCATAAAGTAGCTATCAAAAGGTTTCTGGAAAGACCATAGAAAATAGTTTTGCAATTAAATTAGTAGGTCATTTTATGTAAAAACGTCCCCACATAAAGAAGTAGTTTCAAATGTTAGATATTTTAATCAGGATTAATCATGGAAGGAGGAAGTTTTTCCCAGATAATATCGTTATGAGCTTCCAAATGTTATCAAAAATCTCAATCTCAAATATATAATGTGAATTTAAAATGGTTTGACAGAAACGAAATCTTAAAGGAATTGGGAAATCAAATCAAGTAGATAAAATACCTATAGAAAATTTCAAAATCCTCAAATAATAATGTAATGAAAAAGATTAAATTTAATCAAATATTATTTTCTTTAAAATAAAATCTGCATTTGAAAATATGTCTCAGTAATATGTAATTAGGTTTAATAAAAGAAATTTTGCATTTGAGTCACTTGAAAAAAATATTGAAAAGTCCATATTAAAATAATAAATTGTTACTCTATTTTACTAAGAGCAAACGATGGAAACTGGAAGTCGGAACTAATCTGGGTTATTACCGCAGGGATATTAGACTTTCTCTGCGAAATGAGGCCGAACAAGCTGAATTTTTGCAGAGACCTTCGTTTTGATGTTCTAATGAAACACAAAAAAATCGAATATGCCTACCCTTGTGCGTCTTGAGATATCGAAGGTCAAAGGTCACGAAAATCGTTTTTTTGCGAAAATCTCGCTTCCAGTGCATCTGACGTCGAAGAACTCAAAATAAAACTTACGTAAAATAGTATTTTCTACAAAATTGTTCATATACATTTTTTTATACGACCAACTGTTTTCGAAATATAGCGTGATAAAGCGGAGCGCATATTCAAAATAGGTGATACTGTATTCTGTATTATACAGGGTGTCCCCGTTCAACTGGTTGGTCAAAAATGCTAGGGTATATAGAGGAACCATAGAGAAGTAATTTGAGATAGGACACCGATGGTCGGAAGTGCGTCGTTCCCAAAATAACAGGGTGTTGAAATTTAAACAACCCCCTTTCATATCATCTAGAGGGCTGTTCAAATTTTCAGGGATTATTGATGTAGAAATGATATTCAAAAATTCGTATAATGTACCCCCATTTTCTACCTAGAACTACCCCAAAAAAAAGAAAAAAATTGCTTTTTTTTCAAATTTTAGGTATTTTTTATTTTTTTTAGGATGGTTCCAGGTAGAAAATGGGGGTGCATCATACGACTTTTTAAATATCATACTTACATCAATAATCTTTGGAAATTTGAACAGCCTTTCAGATAATATGAAAGGGAGTTGTTTAAATTTCAACACTCTGTATTCAGAAACTTGGTTGTGATGTGCGGATGACACAGTGTTGTTGTTTGAAGGGGGTGATATGAAAGCACTTGAAGACACTATAAATAACTGTTTATTGACATATTTCCAGTGGCTACTAAAGAATAATTTAAAAATTACATTAAAAAAACTGTTTACCTGCAATTTGCTCAAAAAAATAAAAAGCAAATTGACATCAATATTAAAATAAACAATAAGGCCCTAAGTAAAGTGAAATCTTACAAATACTTGGGTATAATTGTTGACAAAAGCCCTTTTCGGAAACACTGATCCGATTAATCAGATCACCAGCTGTAGTTTTGTGTCTTTTTTTAATCGTATTTATCAAAAAGAGATAAAAGACAAACAGGCGATGATCGTGTAGCGAAACGCACTCAAGTACTCTATTTAATTAGTTAGATGGTAAATGGCGAGCGGTATATTGATGGTGTTTATTTCCTTGAGCTGCTACCTATAAAACCGTGGAGGGGTCTATTTGCAAAAGAGAAAAACAAACTATTGAGGTTTACTGAATTATATTTTATTACACTTGAAAACAAAAATTTATATAAGCAAATATCTTTCTATTCTGACAGTCACTTCTATATAAATATCAATAAAGTTTTTACAGTCAAATCACTCAAGTTTTTATGCATTAAAGTTCAAAGTTTATTCATACAAAGTCATGTTCATCCTTTATAGTCAAAAGAAAACTTATCACTAGAGTATCTACTTACATTCGTCCTTGAAACACAAAACTAATCTAATTTGATTCTTTTTGATTACTTAGAGCTCGCACATAATGTTGAATGACGTTAAATGTTCTTTCTTTCACAATTTTCTGTACATTTACAAAGATTCGATCAAATGCGTTTCTCCTGAGGCAAAAATAAAAAAAACTCTTCGCGAATTTTATCTGGACTGTAGACTTTAAACTAAAAACTGGACTGCAGGCTAAAGACTAACAACTGGGCTGAACTCAACTGATCCATCACTTCTAAAACCGCTGTATTTATATGTTTTGTTCCCTCAAAAATTCCAAATTTCATCATTCAATAACCTTCCTCTTTTATTTGTTTAAAATTGAATAATTATGTCGCAATTTCCTGGTTTATCGGGGTCAACAGATTTGGTCGTAAGAATTGGACATATAACTCAAAGAGTACCGACATACGTGCGGCCATAAATCACCTATTTAATTACTTTGGCCTCGCTTTTAATATTTTTAAGAATTTGATTTAGATGGCTTGGTGACGAAATAATATAATTTTGAACGTATATAAATGTTTTAATTAATTTAGGGTCAACGTTAATTTGTTTCATTTTCAATTTATCGATACTGATTTGAAATAGAGGAAATTCAGTTTTTGATTATTTGATGACATTTAATTTTTACAGTAAATTACGGGTCTATTTTTCCCGGGTCATTACACTATGTACAACCCTTTGTTGTGCAACTTAGTTTCTCTTCTTGTTATTTTATTCCTTTCTGGTCAATACACTCCTTATTTGTACAGCTTGCTTTTCCTTCTTGTCATTCTCAATTTCCGCTTCGGATGTTCTAGCGATTACAGATTTACTTTTTATTGTTAACTCCTCCGTTATATTCAATATCCCCACTGGATCTGTACTGTACTTTCACTCGAACCGGCCAGTTTAGTATAAGACGTCATGACTGTTTCCTGTTTTTGTTCAGTTTAGGTTTTAAAACGACTACCCATCGCTATTCGCTGTAAAACATGCTGTGGTAAAACCGAGATCCTTTGTCATGAGTAGTGACGTACGGGACCCTTCACTTTTGAATGTGTTATAGACTCTTCTTTATTTCCTGTCTTATTTTTCATTTTAACACTATTTCCATTCTCCTAATTTTTCAGCTCGTCAAGCTCCATTTCCAAGTTGTAATTACATATATAATGCCTGTATTACATCTGTATATTTTTCATAATGCTGATTTATGTTGCGTTTGAAGTTTTTCGGTTGTCACCCTGAACTACATGAATAAATACACGGAAAAATACACAGATGTAATACGGGCATAAGAGTGCTTACTGGTACTAAACTATACTAAAAAGTAAAACTAGAGACAAAAAACACAAGATAAAATAAAATACGCAATAAAATACAAATTGACGTGTCTCGTAATACCTGGTGTGCGCGCGCAACTCGTGGGTTGCAGGTGAGCGTCCAATGAAAATTGAGTTTGTTACGGGCCTGCGTCATATTCGTATTTAGGGTCGAGTTCAGAATTAATCGTTCCTTCTTTCTTTGTAACGTGTAATTTGACAAAGAGCAAACTAATACTTTACGTATTAGGTACTTGAATTTATTGCAGTGTCGTTTAAGGTTATGTTAGATTATACTTGACATATTCCATTGCAATTTCATTGTGCGATGTTGCCGGATGAAACATTTATCAAAATAGAAGTTCCATCGATGTTAACATACACTTAAAAGCTCTTCTTTTGGATGATTTAAGGCGTTGTGAAACACTTGACAATATATCACTTCTTTAATGTTATAATGTTCGATTTGTATTGTCTACATTTGTTCTGCAACAATACAATCTGGCTACACTGCGCACTGGCACGAGATGCGCGCGCATGTCAGTTTTTATTACTTTCTAACTTGTATTTATTACAATTAAGCTCTCCTTTTCTAGTTCTTGCGAGACACGTCAATTAGGGAGTTACAGGCTTTTCAACATTTGACAAATTAACATAAATATTATAAATAAAGAATCAACTAGGATTTGACTAGGAGTTGAAGCACTGCTTAATTAACTTAGCAGTGGTATCAAAAAAATCTATATCACATTTTTCAGTCACTGAGTTGCATTGTTTCAGCATATTAACTAGTGGTGAACAACTTTGTGGGTTGGCGCAGAAAATCTATTCCCAATAGTAAAACTGCTTTCAATGGATCTGTATCAGATACTATAAAATTGTGTCACACAACGATGTCTCCTTCGAACATCATAGGTACATTTGCCATATCTTTCACATCTCTTCTTTTTGAACCCCTTGGCTAGGGATACTATGTAGAGCTCCAGAATCTTTTAAGGCTAGGTATGACTTATCATTAACCCTAATTCTTCATTACAACTTTCTGGGGTTCTCCCCTTAAGCGTGTATAGGTTATATCCCTACCCGCATCTCCTCATTTTAATCCTAACTTGCCTCGTTGACAGCCATGTCTTTGGGTTGAAAGGTGGCTGCGTTTGATTTTAAATTCTGGGTATTTCCTGACTGAAATGCTTTAGCTCCCGTGCGGCAGTTTCCAGCAATATGCCTTTCCTTGTGGCATTTAAAACAAACAAGCGTATGTATTTCTTTGTCCTCGCTTGTTCACGTTTCTTAATTTCGGACAATTTGGTCTCACGTGACCTTCCTGGTTGCAATTGTAGTGTAGCACACTAATCTTCTGACAGTCAGAATCTGACTTGCTGCGTTGGTTGATTCCAACGGTTCTGAAGACTTGGGCCTGCTTTCTTCTTTTGATTCATGATCCCACAGCATTCTCGATTGTTTAGCTTCAAAAAATTTTCAATTGATTTTTCCCTCTTAGCTATTTCTAATGCTTCATCCTGGATTTCCTAAGAGTACTCGCTGTTTTATAGGCATTAATAGTCCTAGGGTGAACTGGGTGGCTATGTCTCCTAGCAATTTTTCTTATTCCAGTAATTGATCTGTGGTCGAATTCCCAGTGAATGTAGCAGTTCCATGTCCCAATTACTTCAATCTAGTCAGGTACTGTCTACATGCTTCACCTGTCCGTTGCTTGCACTCAATAATTGGACTACTGAAATCTTCTGTGTGGTGCTAGTTTGCAGAAATGGGCTCGGAGGGTTTGACATCTTTCACATCGCTCGTTTTTTTTTTTTTTTCAACTTAAATTTTATTAAGAAAATTGGATGGTGAGAAATCGGAGAGGTGTTTCAAAGACTTTTTTGCTGGATTAATTCGATTCATGACTTCAATGAAACCCTCTGTATTTCTAATTTTCTTTCCCAAAATACCCCGAAACCCAACTATCTTTTATCTCAAGTAGTTTCCATCTAAATTTAGTGCGCGATTACCGAAATATCAATTGATTTCACTTCAATTTGAGGGACGGAAATCAATTATTGCATTAATATTGTGTGTGCATTTGCACACAAACCATATTATCTGTTAGTCACTTTAATTAGGTTTTTCAAAGAGGCGAACAACCAGATATGGGGAAACAGCTTGATTTGGGTAAGCAAGAATTTTCAAAATATCAGACACCTAACTTACAACAGGATTTTCAAGAATTTGCTTTGCGAATTTCAACAGAAAAAGTTCGAATATAATTAGGTCTAGAGGAGAAAATGTCTCTTCAAGACTTTGCTTCAAGAATTCCACTAGGTAATTTTGAATAGTAAGCATGAAATTTTGCTTATCTAGCAAATATAATTTTGGGAAAAGATGTGGTGAGGATTACAACAATTATTAGTAGGGATGATTTTTGATAATTTTTCATCTTATACCAGGGCGATACAAATAGATATACTCTACTCTCTTTTCGAGATTTGTGTGAAATGAAAGGAATGGAATCACTTCATCAAATCGTCACCATAATAATTGAGCAGTGAAACTTTACGTTTTATTAAATTCCTCAATTTTTTTTTCTTCTTCTTGTAAGTGGGTAAAGTATTTTCAACAATAAATGGTTGACTCCTTTTAACTACCTGGACATTTTGGATGAACTCGGCCATGAACACAATGGGAATACAATGGGCGGTTTTATTGCAGTCATTAACTCGATACCAATTATTGTGAAAAATACTATGCATGAATATATTTATTGAATTATTAACTTATATCAGTAAGTTATATGTCAATTACCCATCAATCATAAGAAGGTACTTAGTTGAATAACAGAAATTGCAATTAAATAAACTTATACACAAATATAAAATAGTCTACAATCTAGACTATAGGTAGGTACTCTTTATCATTCTTGCTTTTTAAATGCATATAGATATGATTATATCAAGGCGTTATCATTAATTATTGAAAAATTTAAATATAATTAGCTAGCTAATAATCGCCACTTCAAAAGGTATTTCACATTGATAATCTATTTTTTGTTTCCCCGAACACTCGAAATAATAATTGCGAAATATGATTCGATTTCCGTTATAATTATTAATACATTTTAGAGTGCTATTGTTATATTACAATAAATGAAAGAATATCGAGTTGTTCAACCATTTTTTTCTATCGAAAATCACTTTTTATAGTTAGAATACTCCACTGGTCCTAGTCCTACACAAAAAAACGGAGTTCTTGGCCACATGAAGCAAATACTACAAGAAATTTAATATTTGAATTTTTTAGGTAAAAAGTTCGAGTACGACCCTACGTTTACAGGCCCAGTCAAACGTCGTTCTTGCACCGATATCATTTGCCTATTTATCTTTTTGGGATTCATTGTAGGATGGGCTGTCTTAGGAATTTGGGGTAAGTTCGCATCGTAATTTGATCAGAGAAAATTCACTCGGTTTTTAGCTTTAAAATATGGAAATCTGAAAAATGGATTGAATAATGGCAGGGATTCATCGGGTCAACGATGCGGCATCGATCCCACAGTTGAAAATTTACCATATCTGTTTTATTTCGACGTGACCGAATGTCAGAGTTCCACGGTGCCCTATTTGGGATGCTCAACTAAACAGGTACAATTCTGGAACATTGTTAGAAAATGAAATACAAAATAATTAAATAATTACAGAAGTTGAAAAAATCTAGGTATTTGAAAACCATAAATGAATGTTAATCTACCTTATTTCTCAAACGGAAGGTTAAATACACAGTTTTCCGCATTGTTTCAATAAGTAACTACTTACTAAATTTTAAGAAAAATTAAAAACAGCAAAAGTTCAATGTCTTGAATTTATTCTTCAGAAACTAAGTACCTGATTGGCACATTTTTATTCAGGTTTGTGTTTCACAATGTCCCAATACGACGTTTTATGATACAAATGAAATACCAAAAGTAATAGCTATACCTTATTGTACGTACGAGCAAAGAAAAAAGAACACATATGACGAGACGAACTGTCCAAAATGGTTTGTGCCAAGCGAAGAAGGTAAGTTTAAACAAAAGGACATAAAATAATTAAGTACTGGGGAAAGTGAAGGATTTGTAGCAAGAGGTGCCCATGAGTTCCAAGAAATCAGGGTAAACCTAAACATAATGTAGCAAAACGCCCCAAGTACTCTATTTATTAGTTAGATGGTAAATGACGAGCGGTATATTGATGCTGTTTATTTCCTTGAGCTGCTACCTATGAAATTGTGGAGGGGGTCTATTCGCAAAAGAGAGAAACAAACTATTGAGGTTTACTAAATTATATTTTATTATATGTACTTAAAACCAAAAATTTATATAAGCAAATATCTTTCTATTCTGATAGCCACTTCTATTTTTTCCAATTCGCTTAATTATTTCACATCCGTTCAAATTTCATTACTACGGACCAGGAAATATCCATACTAAAAACGCCCTATTTCTTCTATTCTTAATAACTTATAAGTTTCAAACAACACTTCCGATTCACATTCCTATTGAAACTACCCTTCACCTACCTATATCTATAAATTCTTAAAACTCCCAAGTCATTTTCTGACTACTTATGCAAAATAATTATTTAAGTCATAATCCGACTCAATGGATTAAGTATCTATGTAGTACCAACTATATTTTTATAAAAACCTTACAATAATTTTTAAATGAAAAAAACCTAATTCAAAATTTCAGCACTTAAGGTCATCAATGGTATTTAATGAACAACAATTTTCAAACAGAACTTTCCCAATACATTTAGTGGTTTCCATCCTAAGGATCATTTTGAACAGAACAATTACTATTTTCGGATTCCTAGCCAACAAACACAATTATTTAATTCTTATTAGTTCGTTACTATAGTCCTTAAACTTCAATTTGGACAATCCAATTCAACATTCTTTGATAATTCCTACTCAAAATCGAATATTGTTAAGAGCATTATAATTTTCCTTTGTTAATTCTTCGCAAAATTGATTAAAATGTCATTATACTCGAAGGCAATTAAAGTTATGCAATAAAGTTTTTACAGTCAAATCACTCAAGTTTTTATGCATTGAAGTTTCAATGTCAATTCACTTCTTATCATTCCGAATTATTTATAAAGTCAAAAAATAAAAAACAATAATAGTCACTAGAGTACTTACATTCAAATTGTCACTCGACACATTATGTGCGTGCTCTACAGATTTTTGAAGTAAAATTAAGTAATTTTACTTCAAAAATCTGTAGAGCACGCACATAATGTTGAACGACTTTAAATGTTCTTTCTTTCACAATTTTCCGTACTTTTCAAAGATTCGATTAAACGCATTTTCCCGAGGCACGAAAATAAAATAAACTCTTCGCGAATTTTATCCGGACTGCTCATTAGGTACTGTAGACTTTAACCCTTTAACGTTCTCTGGTGTAAACCTAGTACCACCTTGTTTATTCCTTATTATAACTTGAAAATCTGGTTTTAATGCATCCTAAAAACATCGTCATTCAATATACGTTAGTCTCCGACGTCAGTTTATTACAAGATTTTTCTGGATGCGGTCGCATTTTTGAAAGTGGTACACCATATATACCATACCAGTGGGACTCGAGAAGCATCAATTATGTTGTTTTATGTACTTCAATTCATATTTTTATTAATATTTATAATCCGGAAGGGATTTTGACGAATCTAATAGGTAATTTTCATCTATATATGTATACTGAATAGATATAAATTCAAAATTCTAATGCTGTACTCAGTTATTTAGTAAAAAACCATACATATTCTCAACCTGGAACTTATTTTGTGAATTTTGTGTACATTTTGAATTATTTTTTCTATAAGTTCTACTCCTAGTTCAAGATTCATATTTTGATACATGCTTCATATAGGTACATGTCTCCATGAAATATCAATCAACTTTTCATTCTGTTCTTTTTGCGCTAGGAAAATTTTTCCAAATTTTCTTTCGAATGTATACAATTTCAACATTATTTTCATGTTTTGTGGTATAAAAACGATAATGAACAATTTTAAATCGCACTAATTATTATAATATTTTTCTGATTTGTTTTTGATTTTGTCAATCCAGTTTTCACACTATCTGATGATTAGGAAAATTTTAGGACCTTATTTAGGATCATATGGAAGTAAGATAGGTAATGTTCATTTGTCATAGAGTTTGATGTGATTTTTCTTTAGTTATTGTATATTTCGTTTTTGTTATAACTCTGTTTGAAAGCTATTGTGTTTTTTATTCTGATCCAGCAGAAATTCATTTTATTATTGCATTATTTATGAAGGTGTGGTATATGGTTTGTACCAGAGAACACTACCTACATATTTAGTCCCAAATGGTCTCTGGTAAAATGGTTTACCGCCTAATATAGGAACGAAAAAAATAGAAAACTCGACTTCTTGTGACAAATTATCTTTTCTTGTTTCCAAAAGACTACATAACTAGCATTTTCTGAATAAAAAAGTCTTAGGAAAATTTTGCCCGTTAAAGGGTTAACTTAAACTGGACTGAACTGCCAACTGCCGGATTCTTCTAAAACCGCTGTATTTATATTATTCGTTCCCCCCAAAATTCCTGATTTCATCATTCAATAACCTTCCTTTTTCATTTGTTTTAAATCGAATAATCGTGTCGCAATTTCCTGGTTTATCGGGGTCAACAGATTTCGTATAGGAATGTGAGGATAACTCAAAGAAAACCTACAAACACGTGCGGGCCATGAATCCACCTATTTAATTACTTTGTCCTCGCTTTTAATTTTTATGAATTTGATTTAGATGATGACATCACGCTTGGTGACTAAATAATAAAACTTTAACGTATATTAATATTTTAAATAATTTGGGGTCAACGCTAATTTATTTCATTTTCAGTTTATTGACACTGATTTGAAATACAGGAAATTCAGTTTTTGATTATTTGATTACCTACATTTAATTTTTACAATTAAAACATTGTAAATTGCCGTTCTATTTTCCCGGGTCATTACAATAACATCAAACATAAACAAAAAAAATCCCATTCAAAAGAGAATTTACTATTGACTCACATTCCTCTACACTGTTTGTAGGTTTACAGGTAGGCACTGTAATAGCTATTTTCCTAACGAGTGCCGGAAATTTCTTTCCGCAAGAGTTAGGAACTATATTTTTTCTACGAGCATACTAAAGCTGATGTTACGAAGAGTTTAATTTAAATAAAATGCGATTATGCAGAAGGTAGAATTAAAAATGTATTAAAAGGTATTTATAAAATGGTAAAGGTACAGGTATAGGTGTATCAACAATAAAAACAATTCCATGTCACAATGATTATTTCAAACTCTTCCCGCACCGGTGCGGGAAGAAAGTCTTCCCGCACAGCAAATCGTGTGGGAAGAGCTAATTCCCGCACGCTCGTAGAAAAACCCATATTGCTCAGATAAAGTATTCCTGAGAAAATCAATCTGAAACTATATTATTTTATTATTTTTAGTTCATAATAGATGCTTACCATCATTATCGACGCTCAACAATAAAACCTTGACAGAAATTGAAAAAACTATAGAAAATTTTTCATCCATACATCTGGGCTTATGGGCATCAATTAATACAGGCAGCACCCAAATCAGTAATTCAGGAAACCATTCGGTTTGATAGTTATTCCTATATAAATCTGATAGATTAATATAAAATAATTTTCTTTAGGGGTTCAATACTATAACTGCAGAATTCGTGGACTCTTGGTGGAGAATCCTGATTGGTGTAGTAGTTGCTTTTGTGTCTAATATGACGTATATTTTAATGCTAAGGTAAGTGTAACCGAAACTCTATTAGGCTTTTTTTATTTAGAGTCTTTATTTCTATATGAGGTTGTTTGATAATGAGCATTACTTTTTGAAGTTTTATTTAACACATCTTTCTTGGGCTCGCCTGATATGTTTCCAGGGTTGGAACATTTTCGTAAAATCTCGAAAAATATTAATTTTATAGAGGATTTTTTTTGTAGATGGTTCGCTGGTTTTATGGTATGGTTTTCAATCGATGTAGGGGTCGCTGCTTTGGCTGCAGGTAAACTAAAATCTATACTTAATCAGTTCATTTTACCAGAAGTTGTTGTATTTAAAATTTGAGTCATTCCTAAAATTAAAGAGATGAACTTTGGTAGGCATAATTTTCGAAAAATCATTTATTGTTTTAGTTACGATTTATTTCTGCATCTTGTGGCAGAATTCTAAGGGCGGAATGAACGACAACGAAGACTCTTTTCTAGCCTTGTTTATCATATCTGCAATTTTTTTGGTCCTCATTATTCTGCTGTTGATTGCCTTAAGGAGCAAAATCAAATTGGCCATCGCTCTGATGCGAGAAGGAAGCAAGTAAGAACCATTATTATATATTTTTTTCGAAATCACACAGTTAGTTAATTTTGTTGTAATTGAAATGAATATAATAATTTCCAAAATATTTCAATAAGTTGGGTATAGTGAGATGAGAAAGGTACAAAGAATGGACAAAATTTTCAATCTCCCGCATCAGAGCCGAAACTTTAAAAAAACAACAGAGTAAAGAAAAAAGGAGATGGAGATCGGAAAAGCAAAGGAAGATTACTGTACTGTGTGGTAGAGAACGTTAGAAAAATGAGAAACTACAAATAAAAAACGGTAGCTTAAACAAAAAGCAAACCTCAGGCAAAAGCAGGCTTCAATAAACTCAGAATCTTACTACTATGTACAGTTCGAGGCATATAGTCAGTTATATTTTCTGCAACTTCGTCGTGTTCATTCCGTAATGGTGTTACAGATTTCCATCATCAGAATTATTGTAATTAAATTGTTGCATGGGATCAGACAGGAGAAGTAATTCTACATTCTAGGCGCTTTTGATTTTTCGATCCTGATTCCTGATTTAATAATGCCATTTGGGCTCACAAAATGCCCTCGCGACCTGTCGCAGAGGGATGTCTTGCCTGTAATTCTGGCTAAAACCGCTTGTCTCTTAGAATTCTACTTCTTCTCGTGATTTAATAATGCCATTTGGGCTCGCAAATGCCCCCGCGACGTTTGGCAAATGAATGCATTGTCTGTAATTCTGGCTAAAATCGATTGTCTCTGAAGATTCTACTCCTTTTCTAAAAATGCCATTTGGGCTCACAAATGCCCCTGCGACGTTTCACAGAGAAATGCATTTGTCTGTAATTCTGGCTGGAACTGCTTGTCTCTGGAGATTCTATACCTTCCTCTCTGTGTTTTATCTTTGTTGGTTGTAGGGTAGGTAATGAAACACAAATCACTGTCTGTATTTAAATAAAAAAGTTTATTCTTTATTAATTATTACTTGTTTTTATGACCATTAATTAATATCTATTAACTCAAGCTGGCCTCTATGTCAATCCTGGCTGACAGCCCCCGTGACATGACAGAAGGGGTGCCAACCTCACAAAAATAGAAAATAGGGCAGTGTTGCCAACATACAAAATACTCTGATCAATGATCATCAACATTTATCACCTTCACACTAACACAATTCCTTTCCAGAACTTTGCGATTTAGACTTGGGTGATATACCCTTTCTTTCCGCAGTTATACCAAATAGAATTTTTTGCTGAATATTTATCTCTAGGATATTTAGATCTACCACAAAAATAGCATTAAAAAGCGACAGCTGCTATGAGCAATTTCAAGTGCTCTAGTCGTCTCAAATGCGTCTGTTAAGCCTAAAGTACAATGTTGTAGAATCCTCTGTTTTATATGAAAAGAAGTGAGACCAGTTATGCAAGTATCTCTGATGTTATTGCCTCCAAGATTTCGATTTTGATTTTTTAGGGCAAAAATTTCAAGTTTTAGGGCCGGACGATGTATATTCGTACATGGATACCTTGAACATGATTTTTTTGAAAAATGGATTTTTTTTTTATTCACCCTTTATAAGTTTCAAAAAAAATTTCAACCTACTAAAAAAAATTTAGACCATGAGAAATCGAATGGCGCAAACCGCAGGTGGCTAGCACACCTGGTTTAAAAGTTATAAGCATTTAAAATGGGTCACTTTCGGCTGGGACACCCTGTATATTGAGTGTATATTAGCACCAAATTATTCTACAATGACCAATCAAGAGGCCTGGGTACCTCCCGCATAATTGAGATTCGATCGCAGCGCCATTTGTAGTTCACGAGTTACACTTTCACACAATTTGGCAACACCGCTAGCTGCCGACCACTTTCCGTCGCTCGGCTGGCTTCGCCCCAAATTATTTATCCTAAAATTCATTGGCGCACGGTAGCCATATTCAAATCAGAAGATAACCAAAGGCGTAGGAGGATTTATTTGGTTTTATCATTTGTGATTATCGCGTTTATCATATCAAATAAAGTAAATGGAAAAAAATAAAAATAACAAAATGTAATTCTTTTTTTAGCGTAGTAGCGCACCCCAGGTATACGCTAGTTAATTTTTATTACACACTTTGTCGTTCAATTTCCTCCAATTTGAGTATTTTTGAAGCACATTGAACTACTAAAATAGGTATTATAACCACTGTTGTGCCCTGTGGTTGTGCCCGTATTACATGTGTGTATTTTTCCGTGTATTTATTCATGTAGTGCAGGGTGCCAACATTATTTTGTTGTTCATAATGCTGATTTATGTTGCGTTTGAAGTTTTTCGGTTGTCACCCTGAACTACATGAATAAATACAAGGAAAAATACACAGATTTAATACGGGCATTGGAGTGCACGAAGTATTTCGTGCTCTAGTGCGCAAAGTATTACGTGCACGTCGCTAAGGTAAATAAAACCAATTTGAGATATGAGATATTTCGCACAGAAATGAGTGTGAAAATGTCGTAATTTTTTGACAAATTGTGTTTTTATCCGTCAGATTACATAACCTGACAGTTTATCAGAAGGTGAATAAGCCGGCCTTAAAGAAACGATAAATGGGTAAAGCTTGTTTTTTTTTTTAAAAAAAATCTGATATTCCTGTGACCTAGTAAATTTACCTCATGGATTCCGCAGAATTTATCTCCATTGAGTTTTTTTTTTTTAAATTTGATGGATGAGCATCAGTAATATCATTGTTATTGTCATTATTGATGCTGAGATAGTTATTTTCCTAACAAATGCGCAAAGTGTTACTTTTCCGCACGCAAACACAGTTAAAGTCTGTTTTTTTTGTAAAGATTCCCCAAGTCAAAAATTTAGTGAGCAACTATGTTGGCAACACAAGCCTTTTCTACATTGAAAATTTGAAAGCATTGACAATTTTACATTGTATTGCCAACATAATGTCATTTTGACTTTTATCTTTAAAAAAAAAACAGACTTTATACGAACGACGTCAAGCGGAGTTCGGATAAGTTTTTGGACGAGGAAAAGACACTTTGCGCACATGTTGGGAACAAAATTTTTCCTACGAATTTTTACCGCACTTAGTGTACATTAATAAAGAATATGAACACTATCAAACGTATTTTTAAAAGAGTGCGGTAAAGAAGTTTCATCTACGAGCGTGCGGTAACTAAGGTATATCACACGATTTTGCGTGCGGTATGTACCATATAACCGCACGACGTGTGGTAATTTTATTACCGCATGACGTGCTGTAATAGCGTGTGGTAATATTATTACCGCATGCCTTCAATTACCTACCTATCACCTAAAAGTAATAGTTATTTACCTAACAAATGCAGAAAGTGATACTTTACTGCACGCAACGGTAGTTGACGGAACGACGCGAAGCGGAGTTCGCTCAAGCCCTTAAGGGCAGTAAAGGCACTTTCCGCATGTGTTAGGTACAAAATTTTACCTATGAACATCTCCAAAAAAAGGCATTAATAAAATTAATTAATGAATCAGATTATTTAATGAAATTTGATTAGATTTAGAAATGATCAAAAATCCATTTTCTGAAAAAAAGAGGATTTTTGATTATAAATATCAAATTCTACTTTACCGCACACTATGTGGTAAAGTGCACTTTACCGCACACTTTGTGTTCAATTTTACCGCATACTATGCTGTAAAGTGATACTTTCCATTTGCAAATAACTTTACCGCACGCTCGTAGGTAAAGTAACTTTACGGCATAGTGTGCGGTAGAGTGCTACTTTCCATTTCCAAATAAGTGCGGTTAAGTGCACTTTACCGCACGCTTGTAGGTAAAGTTACTTTTCAGCACTGAGTAGGCTCCCTACGACACGCAAATGAGTGCGGTGAATTGCACTCTACCGCACGGCATGCGATAATATTATTACCGCACGCTCTATCCACATAGGTACGTAATACCTTCAATCGCCTACCAAAGATATATTACCTATACCTATCACCTAAATTCTACTTGTTCACTGTCAAAAGTGAAAGGCTCATTTTTTTCATCATTCTTTAAGCTTCTTTTAGATATTTTTGTTACCGCATGATTGTAGATGAAATACTGTATAATAGGTATGGTAATTAGGCTATTACCGCCCTTAGAGATTGCAAATTTCTCTCGCGTGCGGTAATTACCTAGTTACCACACCTATTAATTATATTAAATAATGTACTTAATATTACCATTTCACCTAGATTTTTTTTATAGGAAGTCGTCAATTTTTACGTTCAGTAGATAAACGTAATCTTTTCCTATCAAAAATTTCTGAAGTTGTACCAAAGGTTTTACCCAGTTTATTTTCAAAACACAAAAGGCAATGCAAAAACTCTTCGACGGCACGGAATCGTCAAAACAATTATTGAGATAAGAATAAATATTATTTTATTCCCGGGATGTTGTCGAAGCGCCGGCCGGGGGTTGGCGGGGCAGTTCTCAGTGTTGCCATGCCATAGAATATGTAGTTGCGAGTGCAGGAATTGATCCGAAATAATACATTTTCTGTTTTTTTATGTTTAACAAGAATGCACGTGTTTAACAAAAAAATTATATTGGTAAAAAATGTTAGTATTTTAACATAGAAATGTGAGAAGTATTTTATTTTCAACCACATATGTAATGTTGACATTGCAGGTTTTTCAAAATCTTGAAAGTGTCACATTTCTGGACTTTGACATTTATCGGGACGGTAATGCATATGCCTGCCTAGGACGGAAAAGCATTTTCCGTCCGGGACGGCAAATGCTTTTCCGTCCCCATTTCCCTGCTCGTTCCAAATTGATAATTTTCATACAGCTCTCACATATAATAATAAAACCACATGTATTACATGGAACTAATTAAATCTATTCACTTATTTACATTAATTGTTAAATTAGCATTGTTGTTTATAATGGAAATCTTGAGACCATCCTGTTGGAATTGTGTTTCGTTTGGAACTATTATCTCTTGCGCTTGCGGATGAGTTTCCGCATGTGATGTACTTGTGGATGCACTGGACAACTGAATACC